ATATGAAAATTTGCAAGTCACCTAGTTTTAATTAAATGCTGAATTTCAGATACCTCACTTCCATCTGGAATCATGCTAGCAATGCATTCTTCTAGGCATAGTCAAAATTGTCAAATTCAGTCAAATAACCACTAAACCTGGAACTTTCCTGGTTTTCTAGATTTGATCCTCTTCAGTCTTTTTCAACAGAACAGAATCATCTTAATAGCATGTCAGAACAAGTCACCCCTGTCCTCAAAGTCTTTCAAGTGCTTCTTGTTTTACTCTGACTAAAAGCCCAGAACCTTGCAGAGGTGCACAAAGCCCTGTGTGACCTAGCACACCATATTCCCTCTGACCCAGTCCTCTACTGCCCTCCCCAATACCTCATTCAGAGGCCAGCTTTTCTGGCCTCCTCACCATTTGTCAGATACACCTGGAGTGTTTCTACCTAAGGAACTCTTTCTTTACTCTTCCCTCTGCCTGAAACAGTCTTCCCAGTAAATCCACTGTTCAGCTCTACTACCTCCTAGCAGTGATTTAGAGCAAATTGCTTAATCATCCATGCCTAGTTTTCCCATCTGTAAAAAGAGGGGGAAAAGACCTTGTTTTGAGGATTAAATGAGATAATAAATGTGAAGTACTTAGAATAGTATGCGGCATAGAGTGAATACTGCAAAAGCATTCACTAGTATAATTCGGACTAAAAGTCCCAGCAGGTGTTTTGGATCACATGATCATCCCTTCATAAAACAAAATTTGAAAGTGCTACTTGTGAGTCATGTCATACATTTTCCTGAATTCTAAAAAGTAAATTAATGTATTTGATTCTCAGTGGTAGAAAGAATTCCTAATATCAATTATAACTGTTCACAGAGTTCTTCCTCCTAAATTACCAGAACATTTTCCACAAATTCATAAACAGAAAACTCTCTGACATTAATGTTTGATACAAACACATACTTAACAATTATTTCACTTCACTCACAGCGAGGCTTCTATGGCACAGAAACACCTGAAATACGTTCTCATTCACTGACAAACATGGCATATTATCTTCTGTATAGATTTAGAAGTACATTTTCCTATGGAACTAATCATTTGAAAGTTGGTCAGAGCAAAAGGGTAAAAGTGGCTCTAAATATGGAGCTATTTTGATTCAAATATTGCTGCCCCACTTACAGCTGTATATATTAGTAAGCAAGTTACTGATCCACACTAAGATTTACTTTCCTCTGCTCTGAAACAGGACATAATGCTTACTAAGCTTCCTTTCAGAGATGTTTGGATGATAAAACAGTGTGCACTAAAATGCATTTTTAAAAATCAGTATTGTTAATAATAATGTGATCAGCATTTACCATGTGCCATGCACTGTGCTACATGCTTTATATAAATGATCTTATTCTCAGAAAAATGATTATTTTGCTATATTTTTATTATCCTCATTGTTAGATGAAACTGAATCTTAGAATGCAAGTAATGTGTTATGTGTAATTTAAAGAAACATTAATATTTCTACACATTAACATTCTTGCTAAGTGTGATTGATCATGACAATCACTATAAAGTTCTATTAGATATCACATAATTCACTATATTCAAGACAATACGTATTGTGAAATAACTAACACCGCTTTATCAACTTACAGAATTATGGCTTTTGTCCAGACCTACTTGAAATTAAGTCTACCAATAACAACATAGTAAAATGGCATATATATATTTTTTTTTTACTTTTAAACTGAGGCTGTAGTATATAATGAATGTGCTAAAATGTTCTCCCCATTTGTGGGAAAATAGGAGAGCTAGCTTTTAAATGTTTCTTTCACAGATACATTGTCCAGAATTAATACCCAGTCTAAGAATTTTAAAATGTTGAATATTTATATACAGTATAGAAGCACATTTACCATAGCCAATATTATACATGCACTATGCATCATAATTCATTGGATGGAGGGGGAGAAAGAACATAGAAACAAAGAAACAAACAAATACCCTTTTCCGAGTCTTCTCTTTTAGGAAAGGCCGGATCACAGTGTACAGGGCATGGATATACCATGGTTGGTTGACAAAATGGATTCCTCCGAATCGTGCTGGGAAACTGTCCTACAGTAACATGGAGGGCGAAACAAAAAGTCAAAACATGCTTCCATATAGTGAGAAGATTCGGGGAAGGCCATATTATACAAATTTGTTATTCAACGCTCTTAAATGAGATTATTTGTATAGTTAGAAGAAGAAAGAAGAAATGTATTGCATTAAACATTGTAAATTCCATATAAAAACTGAAGCAATATGTAACAAAGCAAACCCTTCTCAAGAATAGATCGTTGATAAGAATTTTACCATGTTTAGGAATGCCATAGTTTAAGCCCGCAAACTGCTAATAGTCATTGTAGGCCAAGAAACATATATAAAAGACAGAAATTTGTCAAATAATGAACATGTGATAGATAAGAGTTTTAATTAAATAATTTATATTTACATTAAAGTGTATTTTAATTAAAATACTTTTTTTTTAAATTCCACTGTAGTCACCTATAATGTGAGCATTGCCAGATATCAAAACTCACTTTATTCTCTTTCCCTTATAACAACTTTATTATAAACATTTTCCTTTCCTTATTTCAGCCTAATGGAAGCAAAAGGAAATATGCTTAAGCATTAATAAAAACCTAGAGTTAGAGTTGTAGTATAAGAATTTTGGAGATGCATTTTGCCAGATTAAGTAAGAGTCAAAACCCTCTGAGCTCACCTCCCAGGAGAAAAAACGGGGTTATCATAATGCCAGCCTCTGCTTTGACGAGAATTTACCTCTATAGCATTTGCATCTGAAGAGATGTAGAGAGGTGTTTTCTCCCCATCCCTGACTAAATATGCACATCCCAAGCCCACTTCACAATACAAAAGAAATCCTTAAGTCAAATGAATTGCAACATTTGACAGTGCTATGGATTCCACATAAATGACCTGACTCTCGCTGCTGGTTCAAAGTTCCACACTGAATTGACTACAAAAGCCTTCTTTAAGAAAATTTATACCACTAGAAGTGTCTCTCGAGTGGCATCATAATAATTGGCATTCTTCTGGATTCTACTTAGAGCATGAACAGAAACAAAAGAAAAGTAAGGAAAATGAGATAATCATACACGTATT